AATCTTATCTAAACCTGTCGAATGTAATAATTATGTCTGTTGTCCATCCTTTATATAAGGAGGAGTCCCTGCCATTTGAAGGCATATCGAACTGAAATAAAATTTTTGTGTTTCATATATCCTGAGTTGTTTCTAAGTTTCTCTCTCTGAAAGTTTTATTTATAATGACTATCCTCTAGTCTCTGACTAGAAAGAAGTATGCTCTGCACTTGCCATTTTAATGGATTCTATGCATCAGAAAATTTTTAGGTAAAAGATCCTGTTGCTACGGTCCTCTTTATTATAACTCAGAAAGGATGATCAGCATAAGTATAAGAAAAATGCATATGAGTTTGCTTAAAGTATTAGAAAGTGCTGATAGTTTTTTTTTTCTGGATTATGATATAAGAGGCTCCCGGCCAGTAAGATAAAATAAATATTTTTAAATTTATAATAAATATGTATAATTAATTTAAAATAATTATTATTTATATTTTATCTATAATATAAATTAATATATTATTTTAAAATTTTTTCTTAACAATTTTTAATCTCGACTCCTATAATTTTTAAAAGTAAAAAATATTTTATTCAAAGCTTTTAGGTCTCATTGTGACAAATGACATGTTCTATTTTATATTTTAAATTTTTTTATTTATTACTTTATTTATTACGAGAGTGTGTTTGTCTTTTAATTTATAAAAATATATTTTTAAATAAGTATTTTTTCAAAAATATTAATTTTATTAAAATTATTATTCATTGTTTTTCTTCTTATTAAATTCAACAAAAACATATATATTTAGACAAATTTTGTGACAAAAAATATAATATTATTAAAATATATTATGTTTTTGTTAAAATTTACTTAAATGAATGGTTTTTTTTTTTTACAAATTCAAAGGTTAGAAAAACAAATATATTTAAGAAATTAAATTTTGATACAAGCTTAATTAGTTTTAAGTAGTTTTTCTTTTGGTACAAATTAAGCTCAATAGTTTAGTTTTGTTTTTAATTTACTTTTTTTTTCAAATAAAAACGACTCTTAAATATTTATTTAGGCCATGTACAAATAATTGTAATTAAACATGTATTAATAGCATCTGATCTTCTACTAAAATATTGTTAATCACTCACATAACATTTGTTGATATTTTTAAAATTTTTTCTCTTCTTCATATTTTATTTAAATAAATGTTTCTTAAATATAAATTAAATATTTAGTTTAATGATAATTAAATAATTTAAAAAATATTTAATTTTAATTTTTTAGTTACTTAATATATTTTAACTAGTTACATTGTTAGTGTTATCAAACAACTCTCGTTCAATTAATTGATTCTAAACTTTAATTATAAATTATACGCAATAAAAATTCAAAATTTACTATCATGTTATCCACTTATAAATGAAAATAATGTAAAGTTACCATTAAAAAATTATTTCAAACATAAAATTATAATACAATCACCATGTAATAATAAATGTAAAAACTGTAAAATAATTAAAAAAAAACTATCACTATCGTCTAACAACCAAATAATAATACAATATGAAAAAAAATTACAATCCATACAAAATTTTCTCCATCATTTCACGACTCCGCGGCACACTCACCTTTTTACAAAACAAAATTTTGAACAACTCACAATAAAAAAAAGTAACGTACAAACTTAAATTATTTTTGACTCATACATTTGAAACGATTAATGCATAACGTTGATCACTCTCTTCTTTTACGAACTTAAAAATACGAAACTTTGTTTAATCAATTTTAACATGTATTTACGTAGTTGATCTTTATATTTGTGCAAAGTTTATTTATACTCTTAACCACTTGCTTAATGTTTTATAAATCAAACTTAAATTTTCTGAGACAATGAATTAGAGCATGACGGAATGAACCAAGAGAAAGACATCCAAAACTATCTCAAAGTAACATGCCAATGAAATTTTGCACATGATAGCTTTCTCATAACTGATTTTGGAGTCATTTCCCAATATCTCAAATTGGTCATTTCTAATGCTCGTTCAAGCAAAGAGAGGAGATTTTTTTAATATATTTATGTAAATGACCATTGCATATGAAAAATATAATTGCACGATGCTGTCATATGGATTTAATTTCTTATTAAAGTTACATATATCATACCAATTAATTATATATTTGCCTCTGTTTTAGTAGTTTTATCTTTATATACATATATCTAAACATGTATTTGAAAAAAATATCTTCATAAAAAAGGAATTTTCAAAGAAACACTTCCAAGTAATTTTTTGAACAGAAGTCAACATAATTTTTTTTATAACATACATTACACCATTAGTTTTATGTCCCATTCAAAAAAATTAAAACAAATTCAAGAAGAAAAAGATTTGCACGTAAATAATTGTTCAAGATGTGTGAGAACTTGCCATTACCTTAGATTTTTCAACAATTACCAATACCACGTATGAATGAGATTTCACTTACTAGGTATATTAAGACTCAACATTTATGGATAAAAAAAAATAAAAGTAGAGAGAATACTTACTTATGTGTAGCATTTTTAGCACTGCACTCTATTCCTGTTACATTTTATTCCTTTCGATAGATATTTAACTATAAAATATATCATAAATAAATAAATAATGCACATTAATAGGATGATGACAGGAAAAATACATAAAAAGTAACCCAAATTTGCACAACGGTTGCAGGGTCTCTAACATCAAATCATTTGTTTGAAAAATTCGCGGGCAAATTCAATTAAGCGGGATAATTGTTCCCGCCAATAATTTCTTATAATTTACCTTTGTGAGCGAAAAGAAAATGTGATAGACTCATTCCACTAGCTACAGCTCATCTTTTTTAGTCAACTCGCTACTCATTCCGAGTTAACTCATCGTCTCATCTCATTTTTTATTAAGAAAAATGTTGAGTTGTATCACCGAGTTTTCAGGAAAATATATGAAAACATAAAAACATTAGCGCCAAAAAAAAAATATAGATAGTTATGGAATCTTATTTAGTGAAATTTTAGGGATGATAATTTGTGACAAGTGTCACTATAGGGTTACGATTTTTTTTAATTTCATCGTTATCATCAAACTATTTTTTAATATTATTTAGTTATTTATAATTGTAATCTTATTATAAGCTGTACTTATTTGTAAAAGTATTAGAATAAATTTAATATCCTCTTTCTTTCTAGTTTCATAAATGAATAAATTAATTTGTTTTAAAATTATTTTTTCTGTCATCACGTGATTAAAAAATATAATAAAAAACTATTTATTAACCCTTGATAAAGATGTTCTTAAGTTTAAAAGAGAATTGTCCAATTTCCTCGTTTTGTTTTGATTTTTTAAAGTTAATTAGCTTCATACATATGTCATCATGAGAATAATAATTTGTTCAAAACAAAGTAGACCTAGTTTAAGTGATTATGTGAACAAATTTCTATAAATGAATAATAATAATAATAAATTTTCTAAAAAAGTTCATATAAAAATATAAAAGTTAATACAATTTTTTTATAAGTTAAAAATAATTTATTTTCTAAAAAATTAGATAAATTAAATGAGAAAGTTTTTCATAAATTTTCTTACAAAATGAAGAAGTAAAATTTATTTTTAATATGTGAGAGAGAATTTATTTATTTATTTATCTTACAAGTATTTTTCTAAAAGTTTATCCAATTAGACTAGTTCTATTTTTATAAATTAAAAACAATTTAAATTTAAAAATAATAATAAAAAACAGATAAATATAATATAGATTTAAAAGTTTAACTTTCAAATAACTTGGAACTCTTGTAAATATTTGTTAAAAAGTTTATACACTTAAACATACTTTAAATTTAAAACTTTAACTAATATGTTATTGTCGACTAATGTATTCATAATCTCTTTATCATTATAAATGATAAAATGAGTTATCAAACTTACTTGAGTTTGTCAGCAAGTTACAGATTTTAGTAAAAATCAAATTAAATTTAAATTTATAAAAATGGTGGTCAATATAAGTAAAATTGTATTTTTGCTGGTTTAATTCACATTGGTTTTGATGAGATAATGTTTTAAAATAAAGTCTGAATTCAAATTGAATTCAAAGTTTAAAGCTCAGGTCTTTTTGAATGGATTCAAAGTGATTTAAATAGACTAATTTTATTATATCGTTATAGTCATATGATTTAAATTCAACAAATTTCATATTAAAAAATGTAAAATGATAAATAATTTTTTAATATGGTATCTAAAAAAAAAGATGCTTCAGAAAAAAATGCTAAAATATAATTTTTTAAAATTATAATAATAAAATTTAAAAATTATAAATAACAATCTTCATGTAAGTACATCAATTTAAAAAATGAATGGTTAAAATTATAAAATATAAAAAACTATCGGCAATTTAAAAAAAACAAATTTTAAATTAAAAAATCATTAATAATGATGTTGTATTATATATATATATTATTAATAATAATACAATTATTTATAATATAATTTTCTTTTAGTTTGCGGGATAATGATTGATAAATGAATATGAATCCAAATATTACTCTGTATGGGGGTAACTTGTAATGCAAGACATCTCCAACTAAGTTCAAAAGTTTATTGTGGATTTATCAATTAAAAAACAAATGGAGCAATGCTTTTTTGAATCTTCTGTTTTCGCGGGCATAATGTTTAGAAGCAGTGTATTCTTTTGGTTCAAAATAAATAAATTCCATAAATATTGACTATTCAAAATTTCCACGTGGCCAGCTTGTTAACACGGATTACCTACCTTCATCATACATGGAACGTTTTCCTTATACAACACAATGAATAGGAATTGACTCGGCGCGTCAACTCGTTCGCGACGAGTCAACACAAATAAATCGTCTTAATAAAATAACTAGGCAACCGAGTTTCCAGAACAAACCAAAACGATTGTTTTCTCTGCTCTGCATTTCCTTACACTAGGGTTATCTCTTTCTCTCTCTTTATTTTTTATATTTTGCTTCTTCCTTTTCTCACACTCTGTGTCTGAATAATCACAATCTTCGTCTTCAGCTTTCCTATTTGAATCCTCTTTTCTCTTTCATTTCCAATCTCTTACAAATCATCCAACTTCGATTTTTCCATTTCTTAAATTTTCATTTAGGCACTCTTCATTTTCCATTTCCACTATCTTTCTTAATCAGTGTTTGCTTTCTCTCTACGCTTTTGCAGGATCTGATTAATCCTGACTTTTATAAATAAAAAAATTTCTGAAAAGGAAAATCAAAGGCACTTTCTCTTGAGGATCGTAGGGTTTCGATTTTCGTTCTGACTGAACGATGGAACCGCCAGTTGTTAGATCGAGGGGTCGTCCGCGGAAACGGAGAAGAAAAGAGGACGAAAACGATGTGAAATTGGCTCCTGAAGCGAAGAAGCAAGCTATGGGGACACGATCGATAGCATTAGTTGGAAAAAATGTGCTGAAAGAGTTCCCTAGAAATGGACTTTTTCTCGGGAAAGTTGTGTATTACGAGTGCGGGTTGTATAGAGTTAATTACGAGGATGGTGATTTTGAGGATTTAGATAGTAGTGAGGTTCGCAGGATTCTTCTCAATGAAGATGATTTTGATATTGATTTAGCAAAGAGGAGAGGTAAATTGGAGGAATTAGTGTCACGGAATAATGCCAAAGTCAAAGCTGTTTCTGAGAAGGGCTCTGCTGTAGCAAATAAGGAGGAATCTGTGGTTGATGTGCCTGTTTCAAGTGAATTGAATGGTGCGTCATTGGGTAAAAATGATGAGGAAGAGGGTGACGATGATGATGCGGATGCTGATTCTTCGAGTGACTCAAGTGCAGGTTTTAGGGATAGGGATTCTGGGTCTGATGCTGAGACACTTCAACCCTTACTTCCACCATTGCAGTTGCCGTCTTCGTCTGGAACCATTGGTGTGCCTGAGCCATGTGTTTCACAACTATTTGCTGTTTATGGATTTTTGAGATCATTCAGCATTCGCTTGTTTCTACTGCCTTTTACTTTGGATGAGTTTGTTGGGTGCCTTAATTGCCAAATTTCAAACACTTTGTTTGATGCCATTCACGTTTCACTGTTGCGGGCATTGAGGCATCATCTTGAAATCATTTCGTCTGAAGGCTCTGAGCTTGCATCACAATGCCTTAGGTGCTTATATTTATTTCTTTGTTGCTGTAGGATTGCGAGAATAAGTAATTTGTTTATACTTAATGGTTTTAATCTTTTTCAGCAAGATCTTTTATAGTTGAAAATATATTATATTTGATGTATTTGCAGGTGCAATGATTGGAGCTTGCTTGATACATTGACATGGCCTGTTTTTGTGATTCAGTATTTAGTAGTTAATGGGTACACAAACAGACCTGACTGGAAAGGATTTTATGACGAGGTTTTTAATGGCGAGTATTATTTGATGCCTGTAAGTAGGAAATTAATGATATTGCAAATTCTATGTGATGATGTTTTGGAATCTGAGGAGCTAAAATCAGAAATGAACTTGCGGAAAGAATCAGAGGTTGGGACAGATTATGATTATGAGGCAGAAGATATCATTCCTTCAGAAGTTGGGCCAAGAAAAGTTTCAGCATCAAATGCTGTGAACCAACCTGGGAACTCCATTTCATATCTCAGGGACACAGAAAATACTGAAGATGGCGATGTTGATAGAAATGGAGATGAATGTCGCCTCTGTGGTATGGATGGGACCCTGCTTTGTTGTGATGGGTGTCCCTCTGCTTATCATTCAAGGTGTATTGGTGTGATGAAAATGTATATACCAGAAGGGCCTTGGTATTGTCCAGAGTGCAAAATTAATATGACTGGCCCAACTATTGCGAAGGGCACATCACTTCGAGGGGCTGAAACATTTGGAAAGGATTTGTATGGGCAACTCTTCATGGGTACTTGCGAGCACTTACTTGTGTATGTTCAACATCTTTGTAGTTGCTTTTACTGGTTCATTTGTTATGCTGGATCAGTACTGTAGCTATTTCTAAGTCAATGAAATTTAAAGTTCAGTTCCATGTTTTAAAAAGCCTTAGACTTGAATTTATGCTTTATCTTTTTTCTTTCTTAGCCATCATCTCACCATAGATTCACTTCAGTTTCCGAAGTTTATCTTTATGATCCTTTCAAATGGATAAATTGCAGGCTCAATATTGACAATGATGAATTTCGTCTTAAATATTACAATCAGAATGACATTCCTAAGGTTCTTCAAGTGCTTTATGAACCCATGCAGTATAGACCACTTTACCATGATATTTGCATGGCAGTGTTACAATATTGGAGCATTCCAGAAAGTTTCTTGCCTCTTGCTGTTTCAACTGGAACAGATGTAAAGTCAGTAAATATAAAGGAAGAGACAGCTCTCTCTACATCACTTCCCCCTCTGGGTGAAGGCAATCATAAACCTGTTAGTTTGGTGAAGGAAGAGTACCCTCTTACCACTGTGAATTCAGTTCATAGTGTTATGGTGCCATCTCTTGATCCTTCATCAGTTTCCACTCAAAGTCCTGCTCCTGCAAGCAGTGGCAATATTAGCAGTAAAGAGTGCCCTACTGTGAATATGAAGCTGCCTGAGGACACTAGGATGGAGCCTGTCATCTCTGCTGATCTTGGTTCTGTTTCTGTTAGTTATCATTCTGATGTGAACTATCAAAGTTCTGTTAATAGGTCAAGTGCCGTAGATCCTGCTAAGTGCTCTTTGGTAAACAGCCAATTTATTAATTATGGCCATGCAAATCATACAGGGATGCCTATAAATTTTTCTTTGCAAACCAAAGAAAGCACCCAAATAGGTTTTGGGAAGTGTGAACGCAACATTACTAATGATTCTGGGTACATGGGTTTCTCCTATAAACCCTTGTCATACATTAATTATTATATGCATGGTGATTTTGCTGCATCAGCAGCTGCTAAATTTGCCATTTTATCCTCAGAAGAATCTAGGTCAGAGGGTCATGTGTCTGACAATCAGCGGAAAACTGCATCTGGAAACACTTACTTGCAAGCTAAAGCATTCTCACTAACAGCTTCACGCTTCTTTTGGCCAAGTTCTGAAAAGAAGCTTGTGGAAGTTCCAAGAGAGAGGTGTGGCTGGTGTTTTTCTTGTAAAGCCCCTATCTCAAGCAAGAGAGGATGCATGTTAAATCATGCTGCTATAAGTGCCACAAAAAGTGCTATGAAAATCCTTGCTGGTTTTTCTCCTATAAGGAGTGGAGACGGAATACTTCCTAGCATTGCAACTTACATTATATACATGGAGGAATGTCTACGTGGTTTGGTAGTTGGGCCCTTCCTAAGTGCAAGCTATAGAAGGCAATGGCGTAAGCAAGTAGAACAGGCCACAACGTTCAGTGCTATCAAGCCACTTTTACTTAAAGTGAGTGTACGCTACGCTAACTTGTTTGATGAAGTGTTTTGGTTTCTGCAAATAGTTCATTTTCTGTTGCCAGCATACAAATGATACAATGGCATTTATCCCATATTTGCATTTGTTATTTTGACTTTCATGTTTTCAATCCAAAATATTATATTCTTCTAATACCTTGAATGTGTAGCTCCCCAGGCATTAATGTGAGGTGTTAGAAAGGCAAGATCCATTCTGTCAAGCACTTGCTACTTGATTGTTGTGTGATTGTTATGATGAATAATCAAATCTTCAAAGCTTGTTCTGATTAAAAAATTTGACCTATTTCTGGATATGATACTGTCTTTTGATGATGTATTGGCAAAGCCAAGTAAAGAAACTAAAAGCCATAAGAAAAACAAGGCTAACTCAACTAAAGTCTAAGTTCATTGCGTGATATTGAACAATTAAACTGATTCAAATGAGGTGAAAGATGTTGAATGACAAAATTCCAACGACAGATAACTTGAAAGTGATGTCGCTTAGAACTAAATGTGACAACAAAGGTTGTATCTCCTTTTGTTATGAAATTCAGCGCTTGTACAAGTGACTAAATGGCTAGTAATTTAAATATAGCCTTTTCAGGACTGTAAAGTATCATTCGAATGTATTAGGAATTTCTTGTACAAGTGACTAAATGGTTGTATCTCCTTTTGTTATGAATGTATTAGGAATATTGTATCAAGACATTTCTTGCTTGTGCCATATGACTAAATTTTTAAAACTTCAATTTCAGCTTGAGGAGAACATTCGAATGATTGCTTTTTGTGGGGACTGGGTTAAGTTGATGGATGATTGGCTTGTTGAATTTTCCATAATACAAAGTACTACATCTACTCTTGGAACAACACAGAAACGTGCACCAGGTGGAAGGCGTTACAAGAAGCAGTCAGCTATTGATGAAGCTACTGCTGATGGTTGCCCTGAAAATTTTGTGTGGTGGCGTGGTGGCAAATTCACCAAATTTATATTCCAGAAAGCAGTTTTGCCTAAATCCATGATCAGAAAAACAGCTCGTCAAGGTATTTTACTATAAACCATATTATATAACAGATGTGATGGAATGTAGGAAAGAGAGAAGAGAAATGAAGTGAAAATGGAACTTCTATTGAATAAGGTTCTCCTTTTGAGCCAGGGTTATCAAGAGTTCAGGAATGAAAAATAGATGAACATGACTGAAAAGGCCCAGGAATTTTGAGAGTCCTGGCACTCCCCCTTAACTTCCTGAATGCACACAATAAACTCACACTTTGCATTCTCTTCCCTTTTTGTACAAGCCAATTTCTGGTTCCACGTGTAGTCACCAGAGTCAGTTATAACTGACAGATTGTTGACTAACTGATCACTTTGCTTTCTAAGCATCAAAAGTGCATCCATTAATGGGCTCAAGTGGCCCAATGATCTCCTTCCTTCTTACATTCATTTTTTTAATTGGTGGATCCAACAATGAGTTGCATTTAGGTCGTAATCCAAAATTTAGCTTGGCTTGATTTGAATTATTTTTTATTTTTCAATAATTATTAATTTTATTCATCGTATTTTTTAATTAACATGTAGTATTATGTGTACATAATTAGTTGAGATGATCAGTGAGCTCTAAAGCTGGATATTGTGTGTTCAATGTTTCTGTTACACATAAATCAAGGTTCAAATCAAGTTAAGCTGAGCCTTCAAAGCCTATTGAATATTTCAATTTCATTGTCTCCATGCTTACCAGGAGACTAGTATTTGTCAAATCTTTTTTGTTGTTTAAATTGTTAGCCAATAAAAAACATGGTCTATTTCTTGTGGGCATCAGGTGGTTTGAGGAAAATTTCTGGTATTTTCTATGCTGATGGCTCTGAAATCCCTAAAAGAAGTAGACAGCTTGGTTGGAGAGTTGCAGTTCAAATGAGTAGGAATGCATCACAGCTGGCACTTCAGGTTCCCTATTTTTATTGAGTTATATTTCGAGCATTATCTAGTTTATTTTGCTGTTAGACTTGTTGGATCTTGCAAGCTATGTGACTTGGTGAATATTTGCATCAGGTCAGATATCTAGATTTTTATCTCAGATGGAGTGATCTTATTCGTCCAGAGCAGAACATCCAGGATGGGAAAGGTCAAGAGACTGAAGCTTCTGCTTTTCGAAATGCAAATATTTGTGATAAAAAACTTGTTGAGGGAAAAAGTCTTTACGGAATAGCTTTTGGAAGCCAAAAGCATCTTCCTTCTCGAGTGATGAAAAATGTTGTTGAAATCGAGCAGGGTCCAGAAGGAAAGGAAAAGTATTGGTTTTCAGAAACACGTATTCCTTTATATTTGGTAAAAGAGTACGAAGAAGGTAATGGAAATGTGCCATGTGATGAAGAACACCAGAGTACTGCATCTGAGTCACATAGAAGGCGGTTGAAAGCTGCCTGCAAGGACATTTTTATTTACCTTACCTGCAAGAGAGATAACTTGGATGTTTTCTCATGTTCTGTATGCCATATGGGTGTTTTAATTCGGTAATTAAACTAACTTGGTTACTCCTTCATTTGTCAATTTGTTTCTTCCCTTCCCATTTTTCCTCTTTACACTGGTTTTATCAAGGACCATAATCTCTATTTGTTGTGATTCCAGGAATGCTCACAGGTGTAGTGCATGTCAAGGTACCCATGAACAATCCATGATCATTCTTTCTTTACTTTATCATGCCGCCCTAAGTTTTTATGAGAACCTTGAAATTTGATTCTTGTTTAGTTTCTTATTTAATGAGTTGTATATAAATTATTTTCTATATAATTAACACTACGCACACAATCAAACAATACTTTTTTGTTGATGTTTGAAATTTAAAATCCTAGACTAAATTCTGCTGGTTGTTACTAGTGGTCAGAGGATGTGACCATGTGGTTATGATATCTTAGCTTTTGCATTATTATATTTCATATATGTATCTTGTTTTAATATTTTGTTCCTCATGGTTATCAGGGTATTGTCATGAGGGCTGTGCCATAAGTTCAGCAATCTCTGCAAATGAAGTTGAGTACTTGACCACGTGCAAACAATGTTACCATGCCAGGTTACTTGCCCGAAAAGAGACTAGCAATGAATCTCCAACCAGTCCCTTACTCCTACAAGGACAAGAGAGTAACCCGGGGACAGTTTTGAAGGGACCTAGGCCTAAATCTTATGATCAATTACTAAAATCTGCCAGGACAAAGTCTAATAATCCTGACATGAAACAGGTTACTCCTGTGGCAGTTTTGAAGGGAATGAAGGCTAAATGCTATGAACAAGAATCAACTTCTACCAGGACAAAGGATAGTCATTCTGACATGAAACAAGTTACTTCTGATTCCACTTTGGCAGCAAAAAGCCATCGCAAGAATTGTTCTTGGGGGATTATATGGAAAAAGAAAAATAATGAGGATACAGACATTGATTTCAGGCTCAAAAACATACTTTTAAAGGGAGGTTCATGCATTCCTCAATTGAAACCTGTTTGTCACTTGTGTCGTAAGCCATATAGGTCTGATCTGATGTATATTTGCTGTGAGACATGTGGAAGTAAGTTTTATGAAGTAAATAATTAATAAAACGTAAAAGTGCTTACATTCATTTATCTGATATTTGTTTCGTTTTCACAGACTGGTATCATGCTGAAGCTGTTGAACTTGAAGAATCCAAAATTTCTAGTGTGTTGGGCTTCAAATGTTGCAAATGTCGCAGGATAAAGTCGCCTGTTTGTCCATACTCTGACTTGAAGCCTAAGAGACAAGAGGGCAAGAAGTCACGCACAAGGGCTTCAAAGAAAGAGCATTCTGGAGCAGATTCTGATTCTGGAACATTTTCTGATATGAGAGAGTGTGAACCCGCTACTCCTGTCTTTCCTGGGGAGGATGATCCTCTTCTTTTCTCTCTTTCAAGTGTTCAGCTGATAACAGAACCTAGGTTTAATGGGGATGTTGACTGGAACAGTGTCTCTGGGTCAGGGCTTCAGAAACTGCCAGTGAGAAGGCATGTTAAGCATGAGGGGGATGGTGATGGTTCTTTTGGTGATATACCTTTGCATGCTGAATTCTCAATATACAGTGACGCAGGTAATCTGGCTACACCTGCACAGTTGTCATCAGCTTTAGAATCTGACACAGCTGTGCCCTTTGACAGCAAGTTGCCGAATGACTCTGAAAATGTAAATTTTGCTGACATGGATTTTGAACCCCATACCTACTTCTCTGTGACTGAACTGCTGCACCCAGATGATAGTAGTCAGTTTGAGGGAGTTGATGTGTCTGGGGACTTGACAGGATATTTGGAAAATTCTTGTACCCTTGTTCCTGAAGAATGTGGAGATTTTAGTTTAGTTGATAAATCAGAACCTGCATATTCCTTACAAGACACCGGCTATTGTTGTTGGAGATGTTCACAAATGGAACCAGCACCTGATCTCTGTTGTGAAATTTGTGGGATTATGATTCACAGCCAATGTTCGCCTTGGGTCGAATCACCATCTAGGCTTGGAAGTTGGAGGTGTGGGAACTGCCGGGAATGGGAATAAGCTGATTGACGTTTCATCCTGTTAAGCTTTGGCTGTTGAATTTTTGCTCGTTCTCTTGGCGGAGGTGGTGAGTCCTTGAGAACATTTGTAATAATAATCATGCAAGCTGGGCAATGAATGTTACAACCTTGAGGCAAGTTTATGTCTAGCACTTTCAGAGGTTAATTGGCTTGCGGGTTGCCGTTGGAATGATTTGCTGTTTTCTGGGTGTTTAGTGGACCCCAGATTTTTCGATCGAAAGATAAGGTATGATTTTAAACCGGCAGTCGATGGTTTTGGTTGATGCGCTCGGATATCCGTGGTTTATCGGCTGTTTTATTCCCCAGTCGCATATGGTATTGTTTTTCCCATTTCACAATCTACATAATTCAGCTCTGATCTGAGATAGGCATGTTTTTTTTTTAACAATGCTTATCTGAAACATTATTTGTATAGATTAAAATTCTCAATTTTTTTGAGTTCGGTCGAAATTAAGAAGCTTCACTCAATTTAAAAAGAAGCTTCTATACTGCATTCATATTCAATCGAAGTAAAAATGCTTAAAATCAGTGCAATTTTCAAGTATCTGCCGGTCTATTATTATCTGCTTGATTATTAGATGTTATAAATGATCTGTCATTTACCCGCTCGTGTGCCGAGCGAATTAATGTTCCTGTAGCCATGCAGCTGGATTGCAATTGTCAACGTTAATTCGCATTGGTTACTTGGCAAATTTTAGTGTTAATAAGTCTTAGATTCATTTTTGTCTACTAATCCAATAATTCAGCATTGGAAAGCAAGAAAAATGTGAAACAAAAAAATAAGCTTGAAATATGTATAACCCCATTCTATTATTGAAACAAATTAGAGAATAAAAAGATCTATTACAGTTCGTTCTATACGAGGCAATATTTTACATGTATTATGTGCACACACTATAAACAATCCATTGAAAGAGGAATGGGTGAAATTATAAGAATTAAACCCTCGCCCAAGTAAAATCGGAGTTCATGGACAGCCATTTTGTGCAGAAAGAATCTCAAAATGCCGATTAAACCAGAGAAATCAAACACACAACGGGCAACAAATTATAACTCACCCTCAATTCCGAAGGCTCTTGCTCATATGGTTCTGTATAACCAATCCGCTGGCTTGTGAGAAATCATGTTTACAATTACGAGTGTGTACTGAACATCCATCGTTCACCTTTATAATGTCACAGAAGTGCAGCCAACATTGCCCCAGGGTCCGTCGATGCTTCTGGAGAAATGGCTTGTTGTGCCATTGGTGGTTCTTGTGTAGGTGTATGCGTTGCTGCGGTGATCCTGACTAGTTGTTCCTTGATAAACTCCTTCAACCTGCAAACCGATGTCAGAATTATCTAAATCCTGTAGAATCTATATTTAACAGTTTCTCATAATAAGATAAATCACATACTCGAACGTTAGTGTGGGATCTCCTGAAGCAACCGTCATTCGCAGCTGGGTTCTGTCTGCTGGATCCGTTTCAATTCTTATCTGACCATTTAAATAGATGTTAAAACAACTCGGGTTTCAAAGATTAACACGTATCAATTCATGATACAGGTTAAGTTTAGTAAAACTGGTTAAAAAATTATAACTTGTAGTCGTTATATGTGACTGTAATTTGTTTAAAGTTTCAGGGTAAATATGGGAAAAGTATTGGTAGTTATTTTCGAATAAGCTGAATGTTATTTAGAGTAATTTTCAAAAGTTATACGTTTTCTTCGTCTTTTTTTATTTTTATCAAACAACTCTTGTAACTTACTGAACAAAAAAGATTTACAAGCTCTTAATATGCTACACTAAACACAACTCTTATAACTTACTGAACAAAAAAGAGTTACAAGCTCTTAATATGCTACACTAAACACAATCGTACAAATACATCATCATCATCGTTACTAAGTTCAACTATGAATGCATAACTAATCTAATAACAAAACTAGAGTTTGTGTTGACAGTCAAAGAAAAAGTATCCCATATCCCATCCCTGTCTGTCTGCACATGTAGGTGCTTAATTAAAAAACCATTACTGATTCTCAAATAAAATTATCATTTATGATCTCTTAGAAGTAGGGACGTGAAAATTGTTTTCTTTGATTTTGCTTCATTTTCATAGAACAGATTACTTCAAGAATTGTAGATCATACTCCTAGCAGGAACCACATCGTAGTACGTGGTTCAAGATATATACTTACTAAACAGAGCATCGCCCTTGTACTTTCTGAATAGAATGTTGTACTTGCAATAAGATTGTTCGGATTGGGGTCCTAAAGGCAGATTGATAGTAAGAAAAAATAAATAAATAAATAAACAGGTGCTAAAAAATTGACAGGAAAATAAACAAAAGTAAAAAAGAACTTCAAAAATATCATACAAGCCCTGGGCAAATAGTCAAATGGTAACTGTTGAATAAGTTCGCCATTTCAAGCAGTGGAAGTGGTCTAACACCCCTAACCTGCAAAATCAACAAAATGAACCTATGACATTAATCATAAACAATACAGCCAATCAATGAAAGATATTAGCAATATTGAATTTGACTTGCTCAGAATTCACATTTAACCAAATATACAAACTTGTAATGCAGAACACATACCACCTCTTGAAGCTTTAAAGGTGGTCCAGTAAGTGATCTCCATTGAGGGAAAAACTCTTCAGCAGATACAGCTACAGGCTGGAGAAACTTGTTTAGGACAGCTGGAAGGCGAAGTTTGGCATTGATCTATGAAAGGACAGATGAGAATGCAGTCACTCTGAGTACAGGGGTTCATAATTGTTGCATGTAAAAAAATTTACTATTTTTCTAAACTTTACACTTGAAATTTTAAATCTTATATTACAATCATGTTGGCGATATTTCAATTTCCTCAACAATTTTCTATAGGCAAAAATTGCACTAAATCACAGCCTTGATGAAGTACTTCCCATTATTCAATTGGACCTTTAAGCAAAATCAATATGATAAAGGTTTCAGATTCTGTGTGAGAATTAGAGACATTTCTCGAGATAATTTGTTTTGATGCAATATAAAGTTGCAATGGACTGAGCTCTTTTCGTGTACTTGGTTTTATGCAGTAGCAGTAAATGTTAACAGTGTTGATTGATCCATCCTGGTAGAGGGAAAGAATCACAGTGATTTGTCAAGTTAGGGACATAAAACACAGGTTTAAATTATGTACCATATTGTTACCAAACTTGAAGGAGAAGTCAATAACAGCTACGTCCCTGCTTGGGTGCAGAATAATGATTTCTAGTGGACATTGCACCTATGCAACCAAAAAAAGGAAATATTTAAACAACACTAACAAAAATATAAATAGTTGATAATAACAACTGTTCCTGACCTGTGCCCTGGGAGGTATAGTTTCTGGTACTAGCGAAAGATCCATCTTCAAATGAGTGGGAGGCAATAGTATAGCATGAACAGAGACAAGAGGAGAAGTATTCTTGTTCCCCATGAAAAGAACCAGACGCCCATGATGAGCTCTCCACTCCGCTTTAATGCCAATCTGTAGCAAATACATAAATATTGACAAACCTAGGAACACAAGAAATCTAAGATAAGCTTGAACCTAACTTAAAATGTCAATAATAGGTCTGTGTAAGTAAGTTGCAAGTATATATGACTTGAATAAAGTAAAACCATCAAGATTCAATACTATTGGAGAAAAATGAAGAAAAACCTGAATGTAAGGATCCTCATATAGAACACCGCTATCCTTCAAGCACAAAGAATGAAATCTTTCAACTATATTTCCAATGGGCTGCACATACAAAGGGTGAAATTTATTATTTTCCAATGCGTACAATTTGTGTTGAACAATGGAGAAATGGAGTCTAGGAGTAAGGAGAGGCATGCTAAACAGTCTATGATAATTATTCATTCAAGGAAATAGTATTGACAAAAAAATTAACATGATTTATCCTGAACCTTAATTACTTGTGCAAAAGAAAATAAAAGTAATATAATAACATATGGCTCTATTGACTATTAACCTACAAACAGAATTCAAAAGTCCGATAATGGCACCTTCCATGGCTGATAGAACACATTGGATAAAGCAAGAGTATTCATTAAGACTATGAAAAAGTAGTTATATGTTATAAATTTAAAGTGTATTCTTAAAATAACCAAGGTAATAAATGATCAAATTAATATTTCATTCATTAAATGAATGACAATATCCACAACTGAGTAATAAGTGAGTATCTTCATAATATAAATTTAACAATAAATAAGGGTGTTAAGAAATTTAGGCTTAACTCATTCCTAAAAGCTAGCTTATAGGAGGAGGACTATCTTAACCTTTATAAAAAGTATTCTCTCTCCATTCTTAACTAATGTAAGACATTTTAACACACCCCTTCATGTCCAAGACTGGACATCTGTATGAGTGGACCCAACAGGACTGAACATCTTAACAAAGGGTATAAATATAATTTAATAGTTAATGTATTTGAAAAAGTATCTTTGTTTCTTATATTTTAGACACAAAAAATAGGGATAGTTGTTTCTTATAAATAGGATGGTAAGGAGTATCATACTCAAATACAAATCAATTTTTTCAAAATCAATTCCACCAAAGATTAAAATAAATGGACCCTAAATCAATGAAGTACCTGCATAGAATTGGCCTGCTCTCCAGCAGGTACTATGGCTGATAGAGGTTCAACCACAGCACCTTCCATTCCCGAATTTGTATTTGGTTGCGGGTGGACACTGCTACTCGGAGAGCCGTCAATTGCCAAAGGACCCAAGATATCACTAAGGAGATCAGCAGGGGGAGATTGAGAATCTAGTTTACTCGAAGTCCCATTTTCATGGGATAAACTTTGATTTGTTGAATGATTATCCTGAATAAAAATGAAGTAATCAAACAAAGAAGCACAAGAAGGAACCATTTTTCACCTAATGTAAATGGTAGTGATATATATAGCGAGTTAGTGACCCATCTAATGTTGACAACAATGGCACAGTAAAAGACAAAACATAAAAAAGGGTGCAGGTGGAAAGAACTAACCACATTGCTGCTTGTGTTGGGGCTGGGTATTTTTACAAGACTAAGTTGGCTGATAGGTGGAGTTCCATTAGCAGGACATTGGTCAGTTACCACCAAAGCATTTGATGTTTGAGAGAGCTGCTGGGTTCGCAACTTAGTTGCACTTTGTTCTGCAGCATCAACTTCATTATCTTCCACCTTTTTGATCAATGCAGACTGAATGAAAAGAAGAGAAACCCATGAGTGTTGCACCTCATAGATGAATAAACTGATCAAATGAAATTGTAGACGAGCTGGCTCTGAAATAATACAGCAAAAATACCTGCCGCTCAGGGTATTTAGGCATTTCAGCCAATATATCCATTAAAGCAGTACCTTTTCTACTCAATGCAAAATATTCAACAGCTCGTTGCTGTATCTCAACTTCAATGCAACTCTCATATCTAAGGTATTAGAATATGGGTTAGAAGAACCTACAGTGTAAAGACAAACCATAGAGAAATACATATATATAAATTGCAGAGGTAAATCTTACTTCTTAAATATTGCCCATATCTGATTCTGTAGTTCAGGGTCTGATGGTTGAGTGTGCATAAGAATTTTAGCATATGTTGAGAGGAGAATAGGAATAGTAGAAGTCCTGAAAATAAAGCATGTCTCATAAGGCATCCAAACTAAATGAGATCCAGCAATAAATTGAGGCATATGGTGCGATTCCCCTTACGATACAGTAGGAAGCTTCTCATGTATAATGTTAAATATTTCCTTTGGACTACACCCAGGTTGTCTCCCTAAAAGGTGTCCAAACTCTCCAAGGATATATGCACTAACCTGTTGAAGCATATGGAGATGAGATACATATATTAACTCCATACTGGACTAAAATCAGACCTCATGCTACATCCGAGTGATTTGATAAAATAAAAATTAATTGTGACAGTAAATATAACAATACAAAGGAAAATTCATAAATAAACAGAAAAAAAAAATTAACAATCAAATCTAACTACAATGTTTTCCAGTACTGTACTTCTCTCGATGGTTTTAGTTTTGGCACCAGAAAATTTTAACTGATAATGAAGGGAAATATTGTAAAGAGATTTTGACAGGCATAAAAACCTGCAAACAAAATTTACAATGGAAGCACTAATAACTAATGACTAATTCAACAAATGCAAGGCTGAGGCAAAATTCAAAATGTTGCGTGAAAAGCTTTGGTTGTTTGCTACTTTTTATTTGCCTTCTATCAAGAACTAATCATAGGCTTAAAGCTTAAGAAGGCAAATGAATAATTCTACATCTCTAATGCCCCTCCATGCAATGGCCTGTTGGCTTGAAGTGTAGACAATGCCACGTATGATAGTCAAGGACCAAGTCTCCCATAAGCTTAAGCAATTAGGTGAAGACATATGAATGATTACAGTAATAACCCACCCCTTCCCTGTTAAGGCAGGGGAGTGGCCAAACACAGTTCAAACAAACCTATTTTTCTCATATTCTGACTTCCTCATGAACATGTAAGCCATCTTGCTCTAATATGAGTAAATGCCTTCCAAGCACATTCTATAATTTAGAAACCATTACCACTAAATGATACATTAGAAGATAAATCTTATACAATATCCACTAATACTAATTGAAAATTATTGAGGGATGATCAAAGCACTCATACCTTAACCATTGTTTCGTGTATGGCAGGTTTGTCAAGATACTCTCGTGCTTTTGCCGCAGCATATGGCTGATCAATGACATAAAAGGTCCCTGATGATGAGTGTATAAGAGGAACAAGAAAAATAGTTGCTACAAACTTCAAACCTACCTGTAGGTCTTCATTGTTTGTAGTAAATTGCACAACATGAAACCAGATGTCATCACTAATAAATTCCCCAGCCTTGTCAATTAATTGAAGAATCACATCAACATACCTGTAAAATAGACATGGTATGATATCAATATATGTGTAATATCAATGTTGGTTCCATGATGACTTGGCAATTATTTAACTACAAGTTTATTCTATCAAATACTGACAAAATACATTTTCCAGCCATCAGAAAATGTTCCAAATTCAATGATTTACAGTTTATGATCAAAAAGGACACAAAGTTCCAGTAATCATATATTTTGGCTCTATGCATAAGTAAAAACTAATAGGCCATCTGTTATTTTGAATCATATTGTTATCTTGCTTTATTCAATAAGAGTATAGAGCATCTTCTAAAAAACCTTCAAAGCAAGATGGAAAAAAATCCAAACAAAAATAAATTAACAAAACTATCCATTCCCAAAGTATACTCTTTTTTTTGGAGAAAAAGAATACCCAACCACATTTATGACAGTGGAACTCTTCCTGCCTCAGAAGTAACCATTTGCCCAACCACATAAAAGCCAGAAAAAACTACCCAATCCAACAGTAGCAATGCTAGAAACTTTAACCTCCAGCATGTTATTCCAATAAAGAAATCAACATACATTGGTAGTTTAAAAAATAATTAACCATCCAAAGTAGTCCAAGTCCTTGTCCTTGGTACATTAGGTGCTATTGCTATATAATTATAATAATCAACACCTCCGAATGTAACCTATATGGGTAGTTTAGCAGCTATACACAAGACAACAGCAGTTGCAAAAGCCTAAAATTTATGTTCAAAAGAGTACTCAATGATGGATATCTGTTGCAGTAACATAATTCATTCTTATATAAATTATAGTCCAACAGTAAGCTCTTTTTTAGTGTTAGTGACAATTGCCAGTTCCAACATTGCTGTCTTTAGAAATGTCAAAACTAATGTCAACAACTGCAGAAAACATAAGGTTGATCAAATGCCAGATGTAATATACTTCAGCAATGTGAACATTTAGGTATAGCATTACCATGAAAGATCTGGTGCAAACTTTTCAGCAAGAATAGCTGCTTTCAATGATAATTCTTCTTGCATAGCAAACTCTGCTGTACTGAGGTACTACAAAACAATACAAACTTCAAAGTAATCATTTTGTGGTTCACCTATAAAAGCCATTCTCTCTCTCTCTTTATGGCAGCAAAGGGTAAGCTATACAGATATATTCCCAAAATCTCAAGCTGGATCTAGCTTCATACCTGCAGTAGTTCTTCAACTATATCCTTTGCATTTGAAACATCACACATGCTATAAAGCAAATCTAGAGCTCTCTTCCGAATACTGAGCATAAATCAATGCCAGTTAGAAATACTAGATTCAACAAAGAATGATGTCAAGAACAAAGGAATTAACTATTTATCTGAGACCTTTCTGGTAGATTTCTAATACTACCTAATACTTCTGCAAGATATTTAGAATTAACAATAAATGCAACTGAGTTAATGTATAGTAGTGAAGACCAAAATAAAAGAATCCCTCAAACAAGAGAATCGTGACAATAATACATCATATTTCCATCTTAGTTCAAACTAGTTTAGCAGGTATGAATATCAGATGCTGGCCTCAGAAAAGCAGCATACAAATCTGTTCATTACTACAATAAAAAAAAAGAAGCAACAATCTAGTTTGTCAAAAGAGATGACAAAAGAATGGTGGTCACCCCCAATATTACATTTCATATCAAATTCTTCTGGTTAAATAAGATAGAAAAACTGCAACAGTAATTAATAGGATTTGGAGGTAACTAATAAAATACAACCTTTTACTTAATGACTTAAGAACTTACATGAAAGGGAATCTTTTCCTTTATAATTACAACTTTAACATATATGTATATTTATAAGCTATGAATGAAATCTGTGCAAGCTGAACATAATTCAGCGATGATATACAAAGGATTAATAATTTAAGCACATTTAACCTGATGTCGGGATCCTTCAATGATGTAATAATCTGAGCTTGATGTCCTTTTATGATATCTTGTACATCTGTAATCATAAACATTCTAGTCATATTTTCCTGCACCGAATAGCATATTGTTATGAACTCTTACATGTATTCTGGCAGCAAATTTTAGTCTTCTAAACTTTGATACAACGTGATAGGAATAAATATTTATGGTTTATGAATAAATGTTTAGTTTTCTTAATTTATCCATATAATATTTATATATGATTTTTAATGTGTTCAAATGCATACAATAAAATATCAATAAAATTAAATAGTAACTTTTTATTAAAAACTGTAACATTTAATATATCATATCAATGTATTGAATCTTGTGATAGCTGATAATTTTTAATAAAAAATATATAATATATAGGTTCTTATTATGTGCTTTTAGGCACATGTTAGAAAAATTGTATTTATATTTAGGTAACACAGTCCTACACATCAGCTCTTCCCAAGAAAAGAAAAGTTAGACAAGAAAAGCATAAATAGGGATAAATCAATTGGATTTCCACAACTTACCAAGCCAAGATATCGAATGTTTGGCTCACGAACGGCAATAAATTTTCCAAGAAGTGCCACACACTGAGACATCATTTCTTTTTCAGCATCCAGATGCATTACCTGAATAAGACAATTCGAATAGAGAATGCACAATTGTAACTTACAAACAAAGAAAAGGAAAGAACTTATAGTCACCAAATGAGTTGCACATTTTACCTAAATGCACTGTGAACATCCATATATAAGTGTCATCAATGTGTCTAGAGTAGTAGAAACAACAGGCTACAGAGCTTATCAACTGCATACATGCTTGTGGATACAAAGATTCCCATGCTAAATTTGGAAGGGGAGAAGGGAGCTAACTGAAAATACTAAGAAATGACACAAGCATTGTTCTAGTTCAGAGCATTCCTTTCTAATTTCTAAATGCTACATACGTTATCTAAGACACATTGGAATTCTGCTAAAGATTTTACCTAGTTTGACCAACAATTAGCTTTTGCATGGAGTAATTTATCACTATAATGAGAATGTTAAGCATGATCAAACTGTTTCTGTTGCTTGAATATAAAGTGCACGCAGTGGACATACCAGAGCAAGGGCTTCAAAAAGAACAGCATGGGATGCATTATTTTTGTTCACATTTTTCACAACATCAGTGCCCATGAGTATCCTTTGTAAAACCTGAAATGAGTAATTCAAGGTTCACAAAAGTTCACAAATTAAATAAAAATATTTTTATGTGTTAATGAGACATGACAAACATCAAACAATGATCTTCTGGTGTTTGGATCTTCAATGGTGGGAAAATACTGAAGAGCCCTCATTGTTTTGACCTACATTAAGCACGAGCAGGATAAGCTATATTAAAGTGAAGTTGCAGGATAAGATTAAAATATTTATAAATAGAAAAGTGTAAACCATTCTCAACCTATGAAATTTTCTTGTTTTCACTATAAATTTGGAGCAAACGTTTGACCTTCATTAAAATCAATTTACCCTTGGTGATGAACGTGATCATCGAGCAGAATTTGATTTCATTTTATATCTTAACCTTTTAATTGCTCCCAAATTCCACCCTCCAAAAGATTAGACTTGTAAGTTAAGAACAAAAGCCAAGTTCTTTAAGAGACAAAAACAACAGAAACCTTTGCTTTCCTTCACATCTCAATAATGAACCAACAAATAATACAAAGTTAAACATCATTAGAAAAGAAATTTTGCTAAAATATAGGAACTATACTTTTAGTTGTCACTAAAAGGGAAGCTGCAAGTATAGCATCCAAAAATGTCAGCAAAACCAAGGGTCACAGATATTTTAGATGAAAATAAAATTCACAAACCTGAAGCCAAGGAGATGGGATACCATAGTAAGTATATTCCTGTGGAATATCCTGGTTTCTAGCTAGGCGTTCCAAAATTTTGACACACTTTGGAACACAACTCCAGTATGCCTCGTAATTGTTGGACACTAAGGCAACAAGAAGACTCATAGATGATGTCAAAACACCAAGATCTCGTTCATCCAAAAGTTGTGTCATCCGATCCGCCCTAAAAGATATGGTAAAGGACTAATAAGATACATTTAAAGGAAAGAATTATGGGAAAACAAAATATTACCAAGTGACATTCAAATTTACCACCCATCTACATTGACAACGTCAGGGTTTTTCCTGTATAGTCGCAGCAAACACAAAGCAGCTTTTTTTCTCACAAGTGGTCTGCAGCTGCTAGATGTCTATATCAGAAAATATAGTCAAGATCAAGTATTTTCAAATTACACCACCTATTTAATGATAATGCATAATTTCTTACCAGCAATTTCTGTACATCAGGTGCTAAGGACTCGGAAAATTCTCTCCCACCAATATTTCCAACCTACAGCATAAAAACATTAAGGATGGCAGTTTAATTAGTGTAAAGTTTAAGGTCTACAAACAATTATAGCTCCACTAAATGCTCTTAATATCTATTCCAACATTTAAATGTATTTAAAAAGGTACTTTAATCTGTCACACTTTAACAGGACATAATGAGAACATTCCACAGTATATGAAATGTTCAATAATTAAAGTTCGGGAGCTATATCTCACATAGATCTTCTATCCAAGTAGTTGAAAACTAAAACTTAAATACATTGAATCAATAAAGTGCCAAGAATGAAATTGGAAAAATAAAAGAGGGGAAGTTTACAGTAAGTATTTAAAATATAATCATATTTAATCTGATTAACTAGGTACTTGCATTCCATCAGCAAAGATTTATTTCTTAAGGAAGAATAATGAAGTAGCTAGACTTTTCAGCATCTGTAATTTAATAAATGCAGAAATTCACAGCTGGAAACTCAAAGCACAATAACTTTCATGAGTTATATATTTGTTGCATTCCAAGCCCATATTCCTACGTAAAAATTTTCAGTTCAAACACCAAAATAAAGGATGGCAATATACAAAGAGAAAGTTTTCCTCTTTCTTGGGCTTACATTGAGATACTAAGAGAAAAACTGCAGTAGAATTAATAAAATTTAACATAAAGACAAGAGCAGGCCTCAGAAAGGTTTACATTTTTTCCATTACCATACCATGGTCAATGCTAGGCACTGGAACGTTTCATTGCGACCAATAATATCATTGCGCACAGTGTTTATTGCCAATCTCAGAAAGTCATGATTTTCATTGAGCAGAGACGATGTCACAATGTACCCAACCTGTAATCAGTTAATACAAAATTAGAATTCCTTCTTCACCCCAAATATATTATTTCTGCTATGTAAACATTTGAACTAGCTGAAATGACACTTTACAAGAAATAGGGAGGGGGCAGCAACAAGTCATTTTAGAAATGTGTAAAAGTATAAAATATTTACCTGCTTTTCTGGATACTTTGGAGCAGATATTAAAGAAACAGCTTCCATGTGACCAAAATCCACATCATAGCCAAGCATATGTATGTAAAGCATTTTCCAAACATATTTCTTTTTCTCATATGGTGTCAAGCCCTAAATATTGAAACAAAAAAGGATAAAATTTATATATATGTATTGCAAAGACATTTATCATGTGCAAAAACCCAAAAAAAAAAAAAAGGATTTATCAATCAGCACTGGCAATAAAAAAGACTATTACTGCTTCTAAAGCATTTAACTGAATCCGGAGAAATTGTTGACCAAAAATAAAAGAATACGGGGAAAATAAATTGCATTGACTCTCTAGTTCTAGTATACCGAAAACAAATCAACTCAAGTGCAGTGGTAAACAAAGACGAACTTCAAGGCATCACCAATAAAATTTTTCAATCATTTTAGGGAACCAGTTACATGCTCATCAAACAATTCGTAGCAGTCAACATCAAGTATACTAATGCCCAAGAACAAAGTATTAAATAATTGACACTTGGCATTCCGTATCAACCTGGATTAAGCCGCCAAAGGGACATGATAAGTGAACATAATTCAACCAATCATGGACCCAACAGTACACTCAACATGCACCTGAAAGGATGAGAAAATTGCTGATCTGTCTATAGACTTCACAATACACAAGTAACCATGAGTACTGTTGTCTCATAAAAGCACACATCACCATGTGATTGTTCACGTAACTGTAACTTTCTAGTCAAGTATACACGTTCTCAACATTGCAAAACGTGATTAAACATCCGTCCACAACAATTTCCAATTGCGCGCGCAAACGACGACAAGCATTGACCATACAAACTCGAATTCCGATTCCGATAAAACGTAAGGTTGGAGAAAGCAACAAAAAGCTAGTTAGAAACCCAAACCTTGTCGTTTTTGAAGCGCGTTCGGATGTTGCCGAGCTCCTTGTCGACGCGGAGCCTCTCCTGCTCTTTGTTCTGGCAATTTCGGATCTCGCTGATAAAGATGGAGAGACCTCTCATGCCAGACAACGCCATCTCCGTTCAGATCCGCCGCCGGGAGAGAGCGGAACCACCGTCACCCTCTTCGCCGGCGAAACTCAAAGATCGTTCAGATGCAGATGGATCCAGCAACACAATTCGCTTTCGAAGCGATTCGGATTCTGCTCCAATTTTGGAATGTGAAATGCGGAGAGAGAATGTAGAGGGAGAAAATGGAGTGAGGATCAGAAACTGAGAAAGCCGTTACGCAGTGCTGGAGTTACCCGTATTTACCGATTACCGTCACCATAACACCTGCAATCTTCATTGCTCATTATTTCTCCCACCAAACGCTTTTCTGCGTTTTATTTTTTCCGTCAGACAGGTACAAATTAATGATTAATTATTATTTTTCTAATTATCGTGTTCCTTTTTATTACATGGCAATTGATTTTTTTGAACCGTTCTAGTCAAGTTTGGTATCTTGCCCGGGTCAAAGTCAAGAAAATATCGCACAAAACTTAGACACTCTTTGCTAAACTCAACTGAAAATATATAATTTATAATTAGTTGATTAAATTAGAATTATTTAATTAAATTATCTAAATGTAAATTATTTGAAGCTTAATTGATTTAAAATTTGTCAGTTTCAAAACTCAGTTAACTCAATTTACAAAACTCTTTAATGAAATTTTTTTAAGAAAAAATTTTCAATTTGTGCTAACAAAGTTACACAATGCAATTACAAAAACAGCCTTGAAAGATTAAGGGAAAACGGGAAAAATATTTATAGTAAACTTCTAATATGTTAAATGATATCAGAGTAACTTTTCTTAAATTAGTTTATTATTTTTTTATTGTTTGTTTATCTAATTGCTCTCTCTCTCTCTCTCTCTCTCTCTCTCTCTCTCTATATATATATATATATATATAAATAAGCCTACAAAATCCTACATAAATTAGAAGTTTATATTGCTAACTTCTTAATCTCAATGTAATACAAGAAAATTCCCTTATTATATCAGACTATGCTATAATTCAATTATTAGAATTAAATTGTTGATTATGCATAAAGAAACAAATTTATTTAAAGAGATAAAAAAAAATGTGTTTGTTATATTTTAAAAAAGTAATCGTATCAGATACAAAATATACTCAGACATAAAAAGAAATTTTTAATTAACGCTGATTATAATGAAATAATATTAATTACTAATTAAAATAAAATAAGTTGAAATTTATTATCTTTATTCTATCAAATACTTTGCTGCCCCCCCCCCCACCTCCCTAATTTTGGTCTTATAAGATAAAATGGAAAGATCTATCTTGTAATTTTTTGTTAATCCATCTATTTAAAATATATATGTATATAAAAAAAGTTTACTTTAATTTATCCTAATTTATTTAAACCAAAGTGTTGTAATTTTATTATATTTTATCTCATTTTATTTTTCATTATAAGTCCTAACTTTCTTCATTTTCATTGAAAATTATTATGTTAAACTAAAGTTAAAATAGGTAAGTGGTGACAAGCTAAATACAATACATTCGACCATTACCAGCTGTCAGGTTTCATAGCATTGTGTTCACAGCTAGACTGGTGATTATTGCTGCTTAACTTACATTACATCCACTTGATGGATGATGCAAATAACATTAGTCTTCGAGCAACAAAGGACAACGGGACAAGGAAGATAGTTTAGCTTTAAATTCAGTAAAACCCTCCAATTGTTTTCTTGAAATACTTTAATTACAGCGTTTAGTTTTCATCAATTTAATATTAAAAATGATCGAGTACATGAATTTTGAACCATTATGAAATCTTGAACTATGAGGAAAATGTGCAAAAAGCATCATGAATGCCTAAGACTATGCTTAGTTATGATAGAAAAATATATGATTAGCTTCAAGACATGTATGATTAGCCCAGTTATGAAAGAGATAGCACATTGGTATCCTAGCAAATGAATTAGATAGCATATGGCTACATACTCAATCAAAACATCATGGAAAAACTAAAATAGAAGAGACAGAAGCTGATCGGTTATGGCCTTTTCCTATTAATCACAACAACAATGCCCGACAGATGAGAAAAAAGGAATTATGGGAACTTCTTGACACTGAGTATGACCCTTCAGCATGGACAAGAAATCACCAACTTTGAACAAAGCATTCGAGAAGAAGCAATTTGAAAAACTATAGACAAAGACCCTTGTTGAACGCCAATCCATTTGACACCAATCAACATAATTCATACCACCATATATGTTATACCAAAATTGCTTAGCTACTGTCAAGGCCATGTCAAATTTTCAACAAGTGGGACCTTATTTAGCTCAGGAGATGCTTCAACGAGGCGTATTAATTCTTTTGGATAAAATTTGTTATTTTTTATGTCATTTCAGTGCTGTTTATCAATTAAAATTAGAATATCATTTTAATAAAAATACTAGGAAACCTGATAAAAAGCTATCGAAACGTCGCCTGAGAGATTCGAACTCTCGCGGGGAAACCCCATGTACTTAGCAGGCACACGCCTTAACCACTCGGCCAAAGCGACGTTGTTCATTATGTGTGTTGGAAAATTAATACTATCATTATTTTATAAGACATTGAATGATAATGGAGTAATATATAATTATTTGCACGATATATAATATTCGTAATTGTGCAAATATTTTATAATAATTTTTAATCAATGTTTGAGAACATTCTTAACTCTTATGACTAATTTGTATAAAAAGAAATGCAAGAATCGAGTATTCTACTCCAAATTGCCGGCCTAGGATGAGGAAAAGAAAGTCATTTGCAGGTCAACATGCATAATTGAGCTATTTAGGTTCATGGGATGGTTGGCAAATTGTATCATTGCATTGTACTTCACACTAAACACATAAATATTCTTCTTTTAGGTTATATGAATATAATTATGACAGTGCCATTACACTTATATTTATGATAATGTCATTCAGAATATTCATTCAAGAGAGAATATACGTTCATATAATTTATTATGCAAGTCGTTTTAGAAACCTCAACAATACCGGTTCTTCACCCTTACAATTATCCACGTAACATGAGTCACAAAATTTTAGTGACACATACATAATAATTTAATAGACTGTTGTAGCCTGTAAAACTATAAGTTCTAGAGGATTTAGAAGATCAACTACAAAGATCAGTAGCCCGTTTCTGAAGTATAGTACATTAAGGGAAATATTGATAAATATGTAAATATGTGATATGATAGCTGTAATTCTTTCCAGCTATCAGGATTATAGATGAGGTAGTTTAGGCATCTATTTATCTTTGACTCGCAGATATACAGTAGTTATTATTGGAACGAAAAGAGAAAACAGTAGCAAAACGTTAAGCTGTAATTATAGGGAGTCGTAAATGATTGTGTCAATTTTTGGTGCCTATTTCTGTATATATTAAGATCAAATCAATGAAAATGAGTGACATATTTACATCGAGCTAAAATTGCAATGTAAAAATTCACGAGACACTCGTTTGTGACCCAATCTTTATGCATCAATTTTGCATCTTCAGCTGGAGAACTAACATGTGCTTATTTCTTCGATGATCACAATGAACTTCATGAATGGGGATCTAAAAAATGTTTCATTTTAATAACTTCAAATTATCAAAATACAGGAGCATTCCCATACAAACAACAAGAATCATCCTATTAAGTAAAGGAGTGGCAAGCTCCCTATCAAATTTGCCTCTATGAACTATGAAGTGTACAACCAACTTTACACAAAGGACACACAAGGGAAAGAAATGGAAAATGTCCAGTCTTGTAAACATGAATTGTGAAATTTTATTAAAAAAAGTGGATTAAGAAACATTTTCCTTCCCTTTCCCTCGTACAAAAATTTTGAAAACCACACAACACTGCTATATGTATATGTAAAGATTTCTTTATATTACTTAAACCAAAGACAAACTTTTTCTGTGTCCAGACTGATGAGATCGACTTGCACTCTCAATTGACGCTCTTGGTGGGAGTACAGTGTGGTCAAGAGATTCTGGTTGAGCATCCAAATATCGTTGAACAAGTTTACACCCAAATTTCCGGGCAACTAATCGAGGATAACTAAGGGAACTATGAGATTTGATCACATTTTTCATTTCTTGCTTTATTTTACTAAATTCTTCTTCAAGTTCTCCAACTCTAGACCTCATCCTTTCCATATCCACCTTTAAAACTCGATTTTCTCGTACCACAGTCACCCATCCATCCCTTTGTACAATATCACCTACTGTGTCACCCGGTACAGTTATGGCGGGCGCAATTTCACTGTCCAATGCATGGAGACATCCCGCTAATGCTGTTCTCAATTGTAACTGTTCAAAGAACAACACTTGAAGCACAACTCTGAGGGGTAACCTATCATTTTGGGATGCATGAGTACAGGCATGGATTGAGAGTTTCTGGTAGTCAATGACGTTGCATAGTTCTTCCTTCTCTTTATCAGAAAGCCAGGGATGTGCCTGCACAATACCATAGGCAGACATCAAACAATCCATGACCGCAAAAAAGCCTTTATTAAAGTGCAGCTCAAAAAAATCAAACCTTGAAATATATGTCCAGCGCCCTGTAAAGTCCATCATGCAAAGATCTTGATGAATCGGGTAGGGCCTCTACAAGAGTGCGTATCTTTAAGGGTTTCAAATTTACATCAGAAGCAATTTCTGCAATATAGTCATCTATCAACTTTGCAACTTTCCTTAAAGATTCACATGATGGTGATGCTTGCAAGTCAGATGAAGGAGAAAAAGCAGTTATATTTGATTCTGAAGACACATAATGATGGACAATTCGTTCAATACAGTCTGTGTTATATAGTATATCAGAATCTGAATAATTAGGAATCAGAAGACTATCAAGACTCGCCAGTTCCAATTGCATCCCTACTCTCCTCTCTAAAGAATCCATGCATGCTTGATTCACATTCAATATCAAAGCCACACGAACAAGTCCCAACAAGAAACGGCAAAAGGCTTGTTCCTTCTTTTCAGGAAGAAGTTTTTCAATGCTTTCCAATAGAACCCTCTGATCAACAGCCGCAGGTGTCAAGCTGAAACTTGCAACAGTTCTAGTCTTGCCACCTTGTCCACCCTGCCACCGATCCAGACCCGGTAAGTACTTTCTAGAATAGTACATTATGGCACCTGTGATGTTTTCAGGTCTCATACCTCTTCCTTGCATTGTCTTAATAAGTTTCTCAAACAAACTCACACTCAGATATGAGATGTCTTCAAACCACCAGTCAGATTCTGAGCTCTGGATTCTAGCACCAGTATTTATTCCATTCCATAGAATGCTTCCACCCGGGCTCTGTAAACTCCCATACATCATCATGGGCCATCCAAACAAAGTTGGATCAGTACAAACCATCATAGATAGGGCATTCAAACACCTACTCACTAATTGAAGCTTTTCGGCCCTTGCTAGAACAGGCTCAGAACTACGGAGAGCCAAAATACAATCTTTCCAGTTGTGCTGTATGTTTTTATGGAAAAAGATCTCTGATTTTGACAACAAGTTATCTTCTCCAAATTCATTTGTCATTTCAAGGTAGTCTGCGGCACAGTAGACCAAAACTATATTTCTGGCTGTCAGTTCTATGCGAAACCCATAACAGAATTTAGCCACAAGTAAGAAAGTGTCAGGACCACCTGGAAATTCTTCCAGCACAGTACTCAGAGTTCTCCCACAGGTATCCTTGGACTCTTCATATGTTTGAGCAAATTTTCCACATCTTGATACAAGAGGAAACTGCATTACCATAGCATATCTTACTCAAACTCCCATGGAATCATATAACTATTAAATTTTCATATCAAAGGCATAACAATATGACTACAATAAAACTAGGTCTTATACTATCTTTTAGCTCTTTACAATTTACAGAGAGTCAGAACCAAAAAAAGAAACAAAAAACACACTGGTTCCAATACCAACTTTGTCCACCATCTCAAAACATTTGCTTGTGTCTCTTAATTCTATTGGGAGGGCCTGACAAACTAATTGAGACGAGAATATATGAGGGGGAGGAAAAGCATGCCAATCGAAATTCCAGAAAAAAAAAAGTCCCAACCCGACTATGTGATACCCAACTCCCAAGATGATAAGTTGCAGATGTTCTTAGCAGAGTGAACACCTCATGCTGCAGCTCAAACCAACTGAGGCTTAGTTTACACAAACGACTTATAGAAGACAAAAATAAGGAAGTAAAATGAATTATATCTCTCACATAAATTAATATAAACTTATGCTCTTCTACTTTATCAGAAGTCCTCTGATTTAACTTACACAAAAAAAAAAAAGTTTTACTCATATTAACTTTTGTTTTCTTCTCATACAAGTTCTTATCTAGAAGTATATTCAAATTGAGCCTAACTTATATTCTATACATTAGTGGAAGGAAGAACAGTTCTGAAAATAAGCATGTACCTTGTGAAGATGGAAAGTGACACCTTCGATGGAAACACTAATATCACTGGGCAATTCAGCATTGCAAAACCTACCAAAACCACAGAAATCACATTAAAACCTGTTTTTTTTACTCTCAAAACATGAATTTTGGAGAGAGGAAATACCAGTTATTGCCTTCTTGACGAAACCCAGAAAGCTTCCCAGCTGGAGCCATAGAGCAAACAAACACCCTCTTTTCCTCCCTACCAATTAACCCAACAACATGTTTGGGCCTTAATCCTTTCCCTTTTAATGAAAGAGAGATTAAGTAAAAAAAAGTGAGAAAAAGGGAAGAATAAAAGAAAGAAAAGCCACTGAGTGAGTCAAACAAGGTCGTGTATGGAACAGTGGATCTTTACAGCTAAGAAAAAAACCCCCCAAGTGTTTCTCTTAAGATCAAATACCCCCACCCCATTCAAATGAAATAATGCCTCCACCACTGCGACCATCAAAAGAACATGGACCATACAAATAGATAGTGCAATCAATTAATATAAATCCTTTGTAGAATAAATAAAAATTAAAAAAGTAGTTCGTGTAACTGTGTTGTGGAATAGAAACTAGAAAGTGAAGCACGGATCACGACGCCAAACACGATCGCATAAAGTAGAGCTCGAATAATATAAAGACGCGACAACGTCATGTTCTGTTATGTAATGTGTGTCATTAAGAATAGAGGGGAACAAGACCTTAGTATAATACTAGAAAATGAATTAGTCATACGTAGAGGACGGCCCAGGAAAAAAAATATTTCTGATTTCTTTAATATGTACAATTTTATAATAATATAATTTTTTATTAAAATTAAATAATTCGAGATATTAATATTATTAAATGTTATAGGTTTTAACAAAAAATTCTTATTAATTTATTATTGTATATAATATTACATAGATTAAAAAAATATTTACCATGTTCGGCAATGACAGGTGATAGGGAGTGGAAATCATTTTTGTCCCCCTTCATGTCTCCTAGCTTGTTTTCTACTTTTACCCCTTTTTTCAATTAAAAAAAGGTAACACTTTTGGCTTTGTACAACAATTACTTTGCCAATTGTCCCCCTTAAAGGAAGAGTGCCCTTTATGGTCGTTTGGTTGTAGGATTCAAGTCAGACACACTCATACACTGGTTAGTGCCCTAAGTAGCTGCGTTTGAGTATTAGGGAATTTCTAACTTATAGTTCAGAGTCGATTTTTGAACGGTATTATTCGTAACACAAACTCTGCCAAAAATTGGGTGACAGCAAAGAGAAACTATATGAATAAAATTTCATTCTGCCGATAATTATTTTAATAATCAATTATATTTACAAATAATTACTATGATAATTAATTTTACAAAATAAGTTTTGTGTATTTGATTGTTACGTGCTTTTGGATAATTGGATAAATATAACGGAATAAAATTCCTTAATTTATTAAATTGTTTTTCATATGTAAGTTTCATAACAATCTGTACATTCTTTTTAAAAAAAAAAAGAGGAATTAGTACATATTGTTAACCAATATTTTACATATATTATTTAGATGTATGAAAAATGTAAATAATCTGACTGTAGAATAAACACATGCCTTTGTATTTTTGGCTGTTAAACTCAAAGTCATTATCAATAATTTAAATTGAAAATGTTTACCTTGACTCCCGCTTATTCGAATCATATGATGAATTAAGTTCAAATGACACCTTACAAGTTGCTTTAATAGTTACTTTAACCCCAAAAGCATATAATTATGTAGGAGGTAGTGTTGAGCAGCCATATCCCTTTCCATGATGTGTGTTTACATCATGTCCATAGCTAGAAAAATGAAGGAAACAAAAATCACATTATGTAATGTGTATGCATATTGTCGATATGATTATATTTTTATGATTAATTCATACAATCATACCTGAACAAAGGGAGAAGAAATGATGATGCGAGTTTGATGTTTTTTCTGGAGCCTTATTTCGATCATTGACCAAAAAACAAAATTTAAGAAAGTATTATTATTTTTTTTTCGATTAATTATTTGCACTTTCGATTCTCAACGAACCATTATTAACAGGCCGAACCAATATTAGCTTCCAAAACAAACAGGCCATGAAATTATTAGTTTATGTCCACTCCACTTCGGCCCACAAGTTAACAAGTCAGTCCATTTATCTAAGTATAATAAAATAATTAAAGCACGTAAAAATATAAAAAATTAAGTAAAAATAAATAAATAACGGAATACATATTATCAATACAACTTGGATTGTTAATCAGTGAACGTAACCCCATTTAACTGGCAGCTTAAACAGACTGGACAAGAAAAAAATATTTAAGTGAATTTGTATTTTCATTGATCATAATCCATATGTATTTCGGGTCAGAAAAATTCTTTAAGTCATAAAATTTCTGTTGAAGAAATTACTTTTTGAGAAGTTTTGAAAAAGTTTAGAGAAGAACCTTTGTATGCTAATGTACTTTTGAGAAATCATGAAAGGAACCTCATCCTTCATAAAAAAAAAAAAAAAGAGACCATATTTTTGAGTAATTTTGTATAGAATATGAAGAAGTCCACAAGAAAACATTCTAAATCCACGGGAATGGAGATTTTTGAGGAGTTTTTTCAAGCTCCATAATGAAGATAGCTAAAGTTAGTCAAAAAGAAGGAATCAACAAAAATATTATAAGTCCTATTGTTCTTATTTAGAGAAATCACTTTTTCAAGAAATTTAGAAGGACCAAAGAAGTCTCATATTTAGAAATTGCATTTTGAGATATTTTAGAGGTTCTTATCAAAATCCAAAATTTTTTTAGAATAACTCAAAAAATAGGAAGCGGTCAAAAAATATTCTAAGTCTACAAATCTAGTTGAGCTCTAAATTCCTTCTAGAATTGTTCAAAAAATAAAAATAGACAGAGGAAATATTCTAAGTCTATGAAATTAAAAAGAACTCTCAAATTCTCCAGAATTAGTCGAAAAATAGAAATCGATGAAAAATTATTCTAGGTCCAAAATGCTAATAAGCCTCTTAATTTCTCTTAGAATTGCTCAAAAAATAGAAAAATATTTGCACGCTGAAATCCTGCACCGCGTCAGACACCAGCTACAAGAAGATATACGATTGTTGCTGTTCATTGCTAGGAATTGTACATTTATATTCCTGCATTTTGTTTCTAGTTCGTTTTATGTCTTTTGTTCATACAATTTATGCTTTGTTTAGCACGTTTTATGTAAACTTCTACATTCAATTCAGTTCCACGCGTTTATTATTCACTATTCTTACTTAATACTCTTTTTACAACATTAATTTAGGCATTGTATTTAAACAACACATTTAAAAAAACTTAAGATAACCTAAATCTAGTCTCTAGATTATTCTTAAATTATTTGTTCACAAACTGTCTCTTTTCATTGTAAACAATACGATATATGGAACGACCTACAACTTAAAAACTCATATATTCAACTCTAACATTTCATGCATAGTCATACTAAAGAAGTGTGTTAGCTTACTTCAAAACACTTTTGTTAGACAAAAACATGAAAAGAAATAGAAGAGTGGAAAATGCAATAAGATTATAGCAACTTACCCGTCTGGATTAAATTTTTTTAAGAGTTCCCTTTTCAGTAAGACTCACGAGTGCACTTTTCACCATAGTTGGAGTGATTCATGTATAGGAACTGAAGAGAGAAATCGTGATTTTCGGCATCTTAAAAATACCTCTATGCCCCATATTATTACTATTTTAAAATACCATATTTCAGATGAAAAAATATTAAAAAATTATCTTTATATACAATTTTTATTTATTTATTTTACTTTTTCATTAATTCATAATTATAAATTTATTTATTTATATTAATTCAAATAAAAAATAATTTTATTTCTCTTAAATATTTTTATTTATTTTATCATCTTAACAAAGTGTAGAAGTATTGGTAGCTTTCAATCTCTCAGGTGAGTAGATGTGAACCACCGAACCAGAACATCAATAATTGTGTTTTGATTAGAAGATCAGTCAAAACAATGGTCACAGTTATTGTGATCCAGTTATGATTCAATGAAGTATGTTGACATGGCTAAAGAGGCATATAGAAGACAAAAATGTTCTCCCTATGCTTTATGTCGTCAGAAAACCTCCCATCTGGTCCCCTAAAAGTTTAGTATTATATAATGGTTATTATTATCCTTGATCAACAAAGAAGGTACAGCTCGGCTCACACTATCCTAAACTTGTTTATTTTGTTAAGTTCTCCGTGCCAACCCACATGCCTAATCTACCGGACTCTCCCAATTGAATTGGAAATCGAATTTTGTTTTCTCTCTTCTTTTTTTAACTAAAGGGGTTAAAGTAGAACCGAGACTACTACTTGAAAAACTATCCTTTCCATAAAGGGCATCCCCATGTCATAACGAGGAGTTGGCATCTGATTCGAATTCAATCCCACAAAGGAATGGCACTCGCATGGAATATTATAGCTCCGTTTGGATAAGCATTTTAATAAAATATTTATTCAATTTTTTGTTATGCGAAAAATCATCACATAATTTTAATTATATATTTAATAATCCCCTATTTGTTTAATGATTAAACTACATTTTTTGCCATTAACTACATATTTATTTTTAATACAATACATAATCTTTAATAAAATAATAAGAGATAAAAAATAACTATTGAAAAATCATATAAACATTGTCATTTTTCATTTATCTATTTATTCAAACGACTAATTATTTTCAAATACTTTTAATTCAATAAGATAGCTTAATAACTTTCAACTAGTAATTAATTGTCAGTTTACAAGTTTATCATCAGTCCATGAAGTATCGGAATAATGTTAGATAGCAACATCGAAGAGGGGGAATTTGTAACAAAAGTTATTCATAAAATAAATTAATAAAAAATAATTTAGAACACATGGCTTAAGAGGGCCAAACAGAATGTTACAACTTACAACTGACCTGGAAAGACAACACAGATGATTGACAGACCTCTAAAACACCAAAAAACATCTTCCCTAGAAATATAAAATGACTTAACACACATTAAAATTACATAGCATCACAGATGACCCTAGATAAATTCCTACTTCTCGACGAACACACATTAAGGCATGGGCTAACGTGGGCTATTGCCTATTGGCTACCGAAAACAAAAGGGAGGAAATTTACCATTTAAATAAAATCAACCGGTGAAATATATGTAAGGTGGGATTGGGAATAACACGTAGGGAAGAACACCTTGTCATATGAAGCACACCCTGTAAGCTTCAACTTGCAACAGGTTTTGCAATGGCTTTCTTAACAGCTTCAGCATATGTCCTGTGCTGATAGGTCAGTGTAGATTCAAGCAGGTCCCAAAGTGAAGTCTTAGGATTCCATCCTGATAGAGGCAACAACCGTTAACAGGTGAAGTAAGTTACAATATTAAAGGTCAAATGAGGTGAATGAAAGAGGAAACCTACCAAGCTGTCTGTTTATTATGGTCATATCAGGAATTCTCTTATCACTGTCATCGTATCCCTCACCATAAAATTCTTTAGAGGTTACATCAATCGTAGGCGTTTCAGGAGTTTGTTCTCCACTTACCTTTGAGTAAACCTGTGGAATGGAATAACAAAGATTCTTAAAATCCCAAAACAATATGCCCGACTTCTAACAATAGAGCAAAATAATTAAAAAATAAAAATAATAATAATCACTTCACCTGAATCATTATTTCAGCAAGCTGCTTAACTGTAACCTCATTGTTTGGGTTACCCACATTAAAGATTTGACCATTGGCCCTGGCAGGATTTTCCTGTTAACACAGGTCACAACACTCAGTGGACCAGCCGAGAGTAATATTTTAAGGTGTATACAACAATCACATGACCTATATTTAAAAAACGGAAGTACACATAAGAGATTGGATATGAGAACCTACAATCATCAATAAGACAGCTTCAATAGCATCTTTAATGTAAACAAAGGTTCTCTGGGACTGGCCACCGTCCACAAGCTTGAGGGGCTCTCCCCTGAGGAGATTCTGCAGAGAAGGAAAAGAGACAACATTATGAAGCAATATAAAAACTTTGGCTAAAACATCGACAAAAACCTACAGCAGAATGTAACTAACATTGCTAAAGCATGCCAGAACCCGAGGAACGCCCTCACTCGGACCATCAATGCCAGGAATGAAATCCATTCTTGGTCCAATCCAATTAAAAGGCCTCACAATTGTGAACTCCAAGCCATTTTCAGCACCCTCAGCTGTCAGTGATCACACGTCAATGAAACATAATCAAGATTGAAAAACAAAAACAGTCCACACCAAAACACAAACAAATCATCTCACCATAAATCAGCCTCTCAATCAATTGTTTTGCACATGCATATGACCATCTCTGCTTTTCAATTGAACCAAAAATGCAGGGAGACTCGTCTTCTTTAAGAACATAGTATGCCGGATCCTAAGACCACATTGGAAACAACATAGTTCAGCTCAATCTCATTACAACAAACCAAAAAGCAAAAAACCGTTAGGGACAAATCACAAATGATTGAAAAAAGTCCCAACACCGTCACTTCAAAACCTGAGACGAGGCTAGATAGAAAACCCAATCCGAAACAAGGAAGAAACATTAGAGTAACCTATGACGATTCACAACATGTCCAGCTCCCACAACTAGCATCCCAAACGCAAGTGAAAAACTTACAAAGTCAACAACCAATTTAAAAAAAAAAATTATAATCACAACCTAAATCCAACGGTAAAATCATTTTTAAAAAATCATAACACGTCAACCTCCTACACCAAAACAAGCTAAACACAAGTGAAAAATGTCATCATAATCACAACCTAAATCTAGGGCCAACAAATTCCAAATTGCGCAAACGCAAAACAATACCTCACAATGCACAGATCTGGAAGCCCATTCTCCCAAGAAAAAATCCATTAAAAAAAAAAAAAGGGAAAACGAAAAAGAGAGGTTACCTTACGAAGGGCGCTATCTTTGGGCAGAAAGCTTCCAATTGTTTTCCCATACACTTCACAAGTAGAGAAATGAATAAGCCGCTTGTTATTTTCCGAACAGTACTTCACCTGATAAAATTAACACGCATCAAAATCACACATCCGCTTCAAATCTCAAAGATTCACATTCCAATTTAAATCAGAATCAGAAAAAGAAGTACCACAGGGAGCGCGTCGATGAAATTGCTGTAAATGGTGTCGAGAGGGCGTGTGTTGTAATCCGCGGGAGTACAAATTGCAGCCAGATTTATTGTCTGAAACACAACACTAATTTCACAAACAGAGATAAAAATAAAGAAAAGGAAAATGTATAATTCATAATAATTACGAGATCTGCCATCTTGATAAGGCCTTCGAGCCTCGAATCGTGCTTGATGTTGAGACGGTGGAAAGTGATGCGACCAGCCCAAGGAAGAGAATCGGGTTCGAGAAGGTGTTTGATCTTGTCGTTGTACACGTCCAACGCGAGAACCTTGTGAGGAGTTTCAGACATTAGTTTCTCGCAGAGGTGCGATCCGATGAAGCCGCCGGCGCCGATCATGCAGATCGTCAACGGCTTGATAGCGTTACCGTCCAGATCTACGCGCGCCATTGTTCTTCAAGAAGAAGAAGAAGAATGTGACGATAACAGTGACGGTGGCTAATGAATGGGAGTGAGTGATATAATGGAAGAAAGAAGGGAATGGAAGCGGTATATAATAGTAGTGTGTTGATATTAAATTATTAATTATTAATTTATTTAATGATTTTAGGGAGACGAAGGAAATGAAAAGAAAACGAACGTGTTTTTCCGATAGTGACACCCGCCTGGCTTATGTTCATTCATCAGGTAACTTAATCTCATACCACGCGCCTTTTGTTGTTCAGTGCCTACTCGCTCTGCATGCCTCCCACGCCCGGTAAATGCTATTCGACGTTGCGTCGTTTGGTCCTCTTTTTAGAATAAATTATTAGAATAATATTTATAAAAACAATTTTTTCACGTCAACATAAATTTTGTCTGTTTTTATATATAAAAAATATATTTTAATTAAAATTTATTTTAAAAATAAAACTAAAAAAATTAAAATATGTATCAAAATTTTATTAAGTTTCGCGTATATATAGATAAAAATATTTTTAATGATTTAAAAAAGTTTGGATATATATATATATATATAGACACCAAGTAATTTTTAATTATTTTAAATTCTATGAATATAATTTACAAGATGAAAATATTTGATTTAATTACAAAATAAAATTATTTAACAAAAAATTATTTTTGTATAAAATAATTAATTAATTTATCAAAATGAATTTAAAATAATTATATATTATAAATATTTAAAATAAGAAATAAACAACTTATATATTAAACAAATAAATTTATTTATTTATTTAATAAGTGACTTATTAGTATAAAAATTACAATAAATAATATAAAAATTATTAATTAATATATCTAAAAACTGATCTTTATTTTATATTTTATACTATAAAAAATTATATTTTTCCAAATAAGATAAAAAAAATATTACATAAATTAAATATGTTTATGTCAATATAAATTAAATGGGACTTTTCTGCTTATATAATTTTTAGAAATTATATATATTATAATATAATATTTTTAAAAATTATAGAAATGTGGAATTTAAAAATTGTTTATAGTGGTTTTGTGTATAAATACAAAAATTCAAAGATAAAAAATTTTTAAAATGATAAAGTATCAATAGTAATTTTTTAAAATAATAGTTAAATATTAAAAAGTAGTTAAAAGTTGCCATAAATGATTTTTGACTAAAAATTGCTAACGCTGATTTTTGAAAAAAAATATATATTCATGTGATTTTGCTAAAAAAAAATATTAAAAAAGAAAAGCTAAAGACAAATTCACTACTTCCATCCTACTTCGGATCCCCTGTTACTCTTCAGTCCCTTGTCCTTGAATCAGGAATCATGAGCCGCAGAACCACAAAATTTTAAGGCCCATCTTTATTTTTCTTAAATTGTAGGAATGTTATTTGTAGCTGTGGAGCGCACTCTGTGAAGTTTTTTTTTTTTTTTAAATTAATTTTGTAAGTTAGGTAAATAAAATTATTTATAATTTATATATATATATATATATATATATATATTAGACTTTGTATGAAAACTTTAAAAAAATTAAAAAACTTAAGAAGAAAGAAAAGAGAAAAGATAAGAATAAATTCCTTAATTTAAAGTAATAAATTTTATTTTATAAAAATAAGGTATATTAATTAAAATTTTCATTCATATTTGTGAGACATAATAAAATAAATATACTTTATCATTTTTTTAATTTTTTTATCTTTGAATTTTTATATTTATACACAATAGATAATATCTTAGTTACTGAAAAATAAAAATATAAATTTATGAGACATAATAAAATAAGTATTTATATTTTATATAATACTATTTTTAATTATATTAAAAAATTCTTCTCATAAAATTATATTTTTAACCTTCGATAACATTATCTCATCAAATATTTTTAAGAATAAGATAAAGTGCAATATATTATTTATAGAAATGATAAAATCAAAAGATAAAAATACCTATTTTATATGTTAAAAAATAATTTTTTAATGAAATTTTACATATTAAAAAATCCAAAAATATAAAATTTATTTTAAAATTTAAATAAATTTATCCATCTAATTTATAAAACTAATTTAAAAAAGAAAAATTTTAAAAGGTGCGCTCCATAAATAACATTTCTATAATTTATGAAAAAAAAAATGGGTACTATCGCTTAAAATTTTGTGGTTCTGCGGCTCTAAATTTTTGGACAAGTCCGTAGTAAGCAATAAATAATGGGACCATATTGCACATCGCCTGTGGCTCTTTATTTTTAATATTTTTTTAATAAAAATTATAATATAGCAAATTTTATCTGCTTTTTAATACTTATTTATTATTTTAAAAAAATACTATTGACACTTTATTGTTTTTTTAATTTTAAATTTTTTGTACTTACATACAAAATTATTATTAATCATTTTTAAACTTCACATTTTTTTATTTTTAAAAATATTATATTTTAATATATATATTTGTATAGCATGACTTTGATCAAATATAAATAATGGTTTACTTATAAATGCATTTATGGAACGTTAGAGGTTTAAAATATACACATTTCAATTACTTTGTGAATAATGCATAATTAATTACAAAATGTTTTTATCTTGAACTTCATACTAACAGTGTGACTGTGATTGGTTTTACAAATTCCGTTACTGTAGTAGTACAAAAAATGTGTGAAATTTTAATAAGGGGCCGACCTTATTCAAATGATATTGAATGATTAGAAATTATATTAAAGTGACTATCACAATACTTTCGTTGGTTTCCTATTAATTTTGACATTAGATTATAATAACATGCTCGTATATTCTTTGTTTGTTGTGATATGTTCTGATGCCAAATAAAAATAATTCAGTAATACATGCAAAATTCTTACAATTGTTAACATGTGAATCAAATTGAAAATTACAGTTGGAGATTAACATGATCAATATTTCTTTATAGATTGTTGAATTGTACTTTCATACATGATAATACAGAAATATGTGGTTACTTGACACTTCTGCAAGTGTGGGCATGACATCGTTTGCCATGGTTGGCTCTAATCCCAAGTAAATCAATAATATTTTCACTTAGTTTTAGATTAATACACTTGCAATATCTAGCTAATACTCCATTTAAGAATCTTAAGAATATCATATTAGCATTGAATCAACTAGGTGTTCATAAGGTAAATATTTTTACTAATTCTTATTAACATGTTAAATAAATCTCTACAAAACAAAAAACATTTTTCTTAATGATTACAACACTAATATCATTTTGTTTATTGCAATTTTTGTGGACACCATATGTGGATGATGAAATTGATGCAATAATTCCAAATAAAGTGAGATATGAATGTCTAGTGTGGTCAACTATTAATCCTTTGATATGTTTTGTAGTTATAAATGGACATGCAACTAATCGTGTAACACATCAATTTAAATATGCTCAACCCATTCCTCCTCAGTCCCAATAACTTGAGGGAGTCCATAACAAAGACTTACTTTGAGTAAGAGAACCAAAGAATTGGACATTCATATATCATGATTAGATGACAATATGGGAGCATCAAAATAAACGTATCTCAGAATTTCTATCCTTCTAATGAATATTGGGCATAATACACATTATATGCAATAGACTAGCTATGATTACCTATGGAACCAACACTTTCTAAGTTTGAAGAGATTCTCATGGATGCACCACTTATCTAGCTACAAGGAATTCCATCAATTTTCGTACAACTAAATCAAGAGTATTATTGATCATCGCAAAAGAATAAGTGACAACCCTTTCAATGGAGTGAATAACCACTACAACCACAATAAGGATGTATATTTGTAAGTAGGAGAGATATTGGTTATGGTCAAAGAAGCAGGGAGGAATGAGGTAAATGTTAGTTGATTGCAGTAGTACCAGTAGAATTTCTCATGGATTTATATGTTAATGACTTTGTGGTAGATAGAGCTTTGCCTTCATAGTGAAATCTGCCTCTAAACTTTGACCTAAATGAAGAAGTAACTATCGAAGATATTTTTGTAGATCGAGATGATGAGTATAAACTACAACTTGTGACACCAATGTATGATGTTACTTTAGTGCAATGGTCTATGCTAATCAGCTTGTGGGATTTGACGCAACAAGATTACACATATATCTAACCATTCATGCATCCATTGCAACCTGAACTTATACCATATGAGGATGCAACAAATGAGGACATATACACTCAATATTTAGGAGACGGTGTTTATTAAGCATGAAGAATGTCATATAATAATTTTTTTTTTGTTTTATTTCAAATTTAAAAATCAAGTTTATTACTCATACAGACAACAAGTTTATACAAGTAGAGAGCCTTAAATCTTCGCAAGAAATTTGTAGCAATATGCCTAATACAATACATTTGGAATGCTCTTAGAGGTTTTCAATGTTTATTTCTTCTTCTTATTGTTGCATTAAGTGATGTAACGATAAAAATAATGTCAACGTCATCTTTAATAATGACGTATTTTTGTAAATTTTCAAGGAAAACTATCAAGTATCTATTGTCTTACCTTTAACAACAACGAAGGCAATTAACAATATATTATGATTTTCATCTTGTGCAGTTGCCACTAGTCGAACTCTTTTGTATTTGTCATATAAATGTGTTTGATCAACTTGCACAAGTGGCTTGCAATGTTGAAATACTCTAATGCAAGGACCAAAACTCCAAAACATTGACGCAATATTTGAACGTTGGGACCAATTCATAGTTGTGATAAGCCTTTACACTATCTAATTGAACAATATATCTTCGAACAATGTCATACATTGCTACACACCATTGCGACAAAACTTCAATTGAGGCTTCCCAATGACTAAATACTTTTTCAATTACATTTTGCTTTGCCAACCACGCTTTTCGACACATTGCCGTGTACTCAAATCGAGACTGAATCTCCCCAATCACTAGTTTTATTTTAAAAGAAAGATCAGATTTTACCATTGGTTTAATACATTCTGCAATTGTATTTGTATCTAACTTTTTGTAATATTGAGAAATGATTCCACTAGTACAAGTGCATGGATCGTTATATTTTTTGATTTCCCAAAAATATTCACTCTCTCTAAAACTAG